GGTATGTCTATACACATCCCCTCTTTATCCCATCTTTCTGTTAAAATTACTCTTTTTAAATCAGTGTTTAGCAATGTCTAATTTTGATCTTTGGTAGATGGCAGTTTTGACACCTTTTCTATATGTTCTGTTAAAAGAGTATGAGGATTTAAGCTTTAGAATTTGAATAGAAATCGTTTTGGCTTCTTTGAAATAGACTTCTTTAGATATAATAGACGTTTTTGCTGAAACTTATTTTTTTCATCCTTGTGGAAGTGGTCAATGGAAGAAAAATCCATTTGATTTGAGTTGTACACTAACTAGAACAGGCATGGCATTGTACTGAAATCCTAATGAGAGCCTGCATGCCCTTTTTCGTGAGGCATAATCAGGCCTTTTCTGTCTTCGTAGGCAGTCACCCAAAATCAATGTAATTTGCAATCAGTACATTAGGCCACACCAATTTAATTTCTTGGTTAACGGATTTGCCTGCTTCATTTTTTTCTGATTTGCAAATAAAAATAAAAATTCAGAATCAACTGCAAAATTCTCATATTTTGCCCTGAACAGTTGAAAACAGTCCTTTTCATCCTAGTTGTTACAGTTATTCCATCTTTCAATGCAATGGTATCATTAAAAGTTCAAAATTCATTGTTTAAATTTTGAACCAGCCTGGTGTGTTGACTTTATGGCTCCTATCGTACCATTTTGGCCCATAATAGGATGCCTAGGCCTGTTTTTATTTTTATTTTTTTCGCCCGCCCACTCCATTATTTTTCTAGAAAAATCCGTTAACCAAGAAATTAAATTGGAGTGGCCTTAGCCGTAACATGTAATTGGTCGTTCTCATTGCTTGAATGTGAAGCGTAGGCAGTTACCTTTATGCAACGTAAAGTGTAATCCATAAAGTACGTTGTGATTTAAAGTAATTCTGAGAATTTAACGTAACTTGTAATCGGCGGTGAAAATTTTGCACAATTCGTAATCACTATTCCCCCATGTTGGCCCTCCATGATGCCCATATATGTTGTTGCCATGACAACTGTAGGCAGAAGGGAAGGACTCTGCTAAGTCTGCGGTGGCCGCGGCTCTGGGAGGGAAGACAGAGGAGATGGATGAGGAAGAGGCACAGGCTCTAGAAGAGGTAAACAGTTTTACCACTCTGTCGTAACAAACCAATTCAATTCAATTCAATTAGATGGTACAACAGGGTATTTGACTGAGACGCAAAAGGTTCTGGATTTGAATCCTGACACATCTAGCCCTGTGTTGGTGCTGTAGTTACATTGTTAAGAATTGAAACTTTCGATCCAACACAAAAAATTCTCTCACCTAGAGCTTTCAACCAGTCACTCTGGTCTTCCTCAGTAGACTGACCCATCGAGGTTTGTCACTTGGCTTCTTTGAAGTGTGACGTCAACACTGGGTCAAAGGTATCTGGTAGATGATGTCGGCCCCCGTCACGATTTAGTGAAGGGTGATGGGCCCTGATGTATATAGCCTTCTTCACCCCTCCCAGGAAATAGTCTTGTTCAGTGTCCAAAATCCTTACAGTGTGAAGTGAAACAAAGTATCCGGGTGACTCTGTGGATGTGTTGTGACACTTTTGAACTGGCTGAGCTTAGACGTGTATGTTCTTGGAACCTCCCCTTCAGTTTTCTAGATCTGTTTCTCTGATTTCTGTTTCTCCAACTTATGGTTTTGGTAACTTTTATTGCAGCAACGTATTAAGGCCCTGATGAGCGGAATGCAGGCTACGGGAGCGGCGGATGGGAAACTGACAGCGAGCGCAGTGGGCTCTATCGTAGGGATGCAGTCTGCCGAGATCCAACAGATCGCTTCTGAGTACGCTGGAAAGGTGGGTGGAGTCAAAAGTTTTCTTTTCATTTCATTGTTTTGGATTTTCTTCAGGCACTTAGTTCATATCAGTAGTACAAGATTTCTTGAAAAGTTCTGCTCCTTTACAAGTAAAGTAATGTAATGTACTGTTTTTTTCTAATTTGGGGGATTAGATTTAAAATTGTTTCAACTCCTTTGACTGTTAGGTGCCTATTTTTTTACTCACTGTTGCTGTTTAGGCCTAGGAAAAAATGTTGTGTTTCCTGTTTCAGTCCTGAAAAAATTAGGGTAGGTTGGTAGGTAGGGATTATCTTTTTTCTTCTCCTTCTTCTTTTCTTAGACTCTGGCAATCTTTAGTGATCCAACTTATACAATACAGTTTAAGAAAGCAAAATTTGCATGAGGACACTTTCATTTTCAATGTCAATGTTAGAAAACCGATTAAACGTTTTACCACTCAGATGTCAGATCATGGAGCTAGAAAAGGTTGATCAGCTCGAAAAAATTATGTCCCTTTCAGGGGCCCACAAAAAAAAGGTTTGGGCTGGCAGGTTTTTCTAAGGTAAACAGAAGCACAACATTTTTTTTCCTAAGCCTTAACCTTCACCCTGCTTCGAAACCCCTTAACCAATAGAGAATTGGTAGCCAAAGGGCTGTTTTGGTATGTTAAGGGTTAATGTCATTGCAGCAAGCTGAGTTAGCGGCCGAGGACCGTCCGGAGAGGCTGAGCGGTGCCCAGCAGCACAAACGGACCGTGGCCTCGCTCAACAAACAGATCGCAGCGCAGGAGAAAAAACTGGAGGAAGTCCGCGCTAAACACGAGGAACTCCACACTGCCTACACCTCCACACAGGACAAACTACAGGAGGTAGGGCCAGGGGTTGGGTTGTTCAGAAGAGACTGCTCAAGTATTGTACAATGAATGTGGCGGAAACTGAATTACCTTTCATTTGCAAATGCCTTCATTTTTTGCTTTTGGAATGTTATCTCAAGGTCAGACGAAAGAATATGAAGTTGTAATGCAAATGTTTGCTTGTTTGTTTGTTTATCAGGTGCAAGAATTTAGTGCCAGACTTGATGAAGAGATGGACAAACTATCAGAACAGGAGAAAGATGAAGCCAACTCAAGGTGGGTCTGGAAGGGTTTCTCAGAGAACGACACATGTTATTATTAAATTAATAATGGCTCTGAGTTAATTATCAAAGGCAGAAGTCTTTCAGCTGTAAATAATTTCATCAGGATGGTTAGAAACTGTATAAGAAGGTTCTTCATTCAACAACTAGTGCCCCGAAGAAGGTGACAGGCAGTCATCAAAATGTCAGATGTGAAAACCTACTGGTTGTTGAAAAAAGAACTTTATTATGCAAAAATCTTTCATGCTTGTTAAGTTATTCTTCTTAGTAGCACTTTGATGGCCTTAGTTAGTATTTCTGGTTATTGTCTTTTTTGTCAAATTTGCATTTATGTTTACCTTTGCAGAAGGAAAACAGTGTTTTTGCTCTGTTTCTTCTTCCTCTTCTTCTCCAGACCAATAAGGTCAATGACCTGAACCAGATGTCTGTCACCATGGTAAAGAGTGTTGCAATTTTATAGCAGGAGGGATTTAGACTTTCTGGTTTGTTGGTTATTTTTTGTAGTATGAAAAAATAACAAAATGAAGAAATAAAAGTTGTTGTTTCTCTCGTCCGGCAGTGTTCTGCAGCAGCTGAGGGGCCTTGTTGCGATGAATGAGAATCTGAAGAAACAGGAACAGGAGTTCCGGGCCCACTGTAAGGAAGAGATGACACGGCTACAGGCAGCCATCGACCTGCTTAAACTGGAGGGAGATGAGGGGGAGGGGGAGGACCAGGTATATCTATACAGTGGTCAAAATACTTTTTTTCAGTACTCTGCAATATTGCAAAAGAGTCAAAATTTTGTTCTGCAATTTGGAAATACTTTGAAATTCTGCATATACACAAGCCTCTATACTACAATCTTGCAAGTTTATAAGCATGAACTATTGATTGATATGCAAATTAGTGAAGACAAATTTTTGGCAGTCCAAAAGGAAACAAAAAATAGACAAGTCCAGACAAGGTTGATGTAAATTAGTGAAGAAGCTCCTGTTGTTTCAGAACAGGAGCTTAAGTGTTGTCTGTCCTTGGGGCCATTGAAGAGCACCAAATCCCAAGTGCCAATTTTTCCTGCTGCAAAATTGCAGATTGTATAAATTTTTCTTCTGCAATCTTTGAAATCTATCTGCAGATTGCAGACTGCAGACAGGTATTTCGAACACTGCTATATCAATGGTTTATTTCTATAACATTGTCACAAACATTGTAGCCAAAATGGCTGAATTGCGTCAGGACAATCACAATTCGGATAGATGTGATTAAAACATATTTACATGTAATATATGGATTTAAAATGTTACGTACAGAATTTATCACATTGTCTGTCACTACAACAAGCACGATGGTCAGATTTGGGCCCAAAAGTCCCACTCCGCTACTATGGAGATCGAATCCCCCGAACCCGCGAATCTTGTTCGATATGACGTCATTCGAATAGAGCGGGCGTTCGATCTGGGGTTACCCGCGGTCATTTACAGTCAAGCCGCTACAACCGGCTACTTCAAGCCCTTTTTTACTTGGGAACCACGGAACAGGAAAAATCCACCTTTCCACAAATATGAACCGTTTTCAAAATATTACATCTATGCCGTGATTTTATTGTGGATATGTAACATGTAACGAAGCTACTGCCGTTATCGTGGGTGACCTTGAAGGTCAGAATTCTTGTTGACGCTGTTATAAAATCCAGGTTCCCATATCCAAGTGGCACAGCATGCGTGCAAACATGGTATTTTAACCATTCCCAAAAATCGCTCAAATTACCTCATTGAGGGCTTGTTTGGAAGAGGAACGATTTCCGCAGATTTCTGTCTTAGGGATTTTTAAAATATGGCCGCGATTATGAATTATCGGTATTTAAAGTTAAAACACTGCGTTTTTAGCTCTTCTTTTGATTGTAAGTCGAGTTTTAGTTAAAAAATAAAAAAATCCTAAGACAGAAAGTTTAAATTTACTGTAATATTTCTAAAAATCCAAAAATTTAACCTTATTTTTAATTTTCGGGGCCTCTTAAAATCAGTTGTTTGGTTCTCGTGAACCCTTTTTGAAATCCGAAATTGATCTCATTTGGAAGCAAATGTACACAAAGTGGAGCAAAGGCAGTGCAAGAATAACATTTGAGGTAAACAAAATCACTTATTACATTTTATTTTGACGAGTATTTACTCTCCAATTACTTTTGTTTATTTTCAAATTTTACCCGTTACCCCCGGGCCGGCCCGCGCGGCCACGTTCGAACGCGTTCTGTAACCCGATACCTCCCTAGTAATGTGACTTTTAGCCTAGCAACCGACCGCCGTGAAGTTTTCAGCGCATCCATACGAAATTGTCAAGAGGTGATAGAAATGGTTAAGGGCGCCATAATGTCTCACAGTCATTCAAAAGTTTGTCAAAAGAAGGTAAGGTGTTACTTGGTCAGTAGCACTACAATGGTGGCATTAAATGCACTGGCTAGGCTAGTGGACACAAAACCAAGAAGTCATGGGTTCAATTCCTGGCTGAATTCCTCACTTCCCCCAGGTGTAAAATGGGTACCTGACTTCAGTTGGGGAGGTAAAAGCTAGTGAAATGAGAGGGATGGGCTCCACCTTCCAATACCGTGCCACGGTGGATTAACAAGCCACGTTACGGCATGAAAAAGACTATGAGACTACCTTTATCTATTAAGCACTAAATTTGCCTCAACAGAGTCTGGCAGGCACATGAGCTCATGGATGAGACATAGGATATAAGTTTTGTCAAATATCTCTTTAAAAAAATAGTCGAGTCAGTTCTTGGTTAAAATGGTCCTATGGAATAGATACATCCTGCATGCACATATCATTACATTGTAACTTCATGTATGTTATTGTATATAAGGTGACGTAAATCTTCTCTGTGTATTTCAGGAGAGAAGCAGACTGATTGAGAAACAGTACCAGGCAGACAAGGAGAAACTGCACAAAATACGACTCTTGTTGGTAAGGACTCCCCTAATCCACAGTTTTTGTTGTTTTTTTGGCGACGTCTCAGGGAGGATCCTAATGGTACAGTATTGTGTGCAATTCGCAAGAATTCTAGGAATTGTACAGGCATTTTGTCCACAGGAATGGAATGTCCACAGGCATTTCTCTGGCACACATCTATGCCCACATTCCTGGAAACCCTTGGGAAGACCCAGAAGACCTGTCTGCCACAGATGGCCCTACTTTCTGTGACCCCAGGGCTTGTTCACTATGCACTCGGGGGAGGAGTGCACTGTATCTGTCTTGCTCAAAATCATGAAACAATGGCAGTGCCATGCAAACAATAACCCTAACATGAACCACCGTCGCCATGGCAATGTATGTTTTCATTGCCAGTCTTGTTTAAATTTTTTCAGACATGTCTTTGATGAGACAATTGTATGTAGAACACCAATATTTTTAGATTGTAAGGAGAAACACAGAAATGATCTTAGAATACTTGCTGTTGTGTTGCTAAAAGCTTGCAAATTCAGGAAAAAATCTTAACAGTTAAATTTTCTGTACTGTACTGCTACTTGTATGAAGTAGCTATAGGGTTAAAGAAGTAATTTACAATTTAACAGATGACTAATTTTTATCACGTTTCCTCATCAGGCGAGAAAGAACCGTGAGATCGCCCAGCTTCAGCGTAAGATTGACGAGGTTCCGTCTCGAGCAGAACTCTCCCAGTACCAGCGCCGGTTTGTGGAGCTGTACAACCAAGGTCAGACCACAACTGCCATCCACTCACAGTTAACATCTACATGTAGCACTATTGACTACAATTACAAACCTTCAAAAAAACTTTTGTGACAAATATTTAAAGTTCCCATTAACAGTGTTTTTGTCCCAACTCATTCTTAAATCTCATAGTAAGGCCAAACAAACTTGATTTGTTGGTTCTCGGATTTTTTCAGAAAAAATATGAAGTGACAGAGAAAAAAAACAGCCCTAGTCATCCTACGAGCCATGTAGTCAACATACCAGGCTGGTTTTGTAGTTCAAACAATGAATTTTGAACTTTTAATCAAACCACTGCATTGATGCATGGGACTTCTTTCAACTTTCGTGGCCAATATATGAGCATTTTGGAGTTGATTTAGAGGCTGAAATGTTTTTTTCAGAAAAGAAATTAAGCGGGCAAACCCGTGAACCAACAAATTAAATTGGTATGGCCCAAACGTATGCTTTATTATTATTATTTCTCATTCATGTCTGTAATATTCTATTTGTACTAGTTGCTGCCACCCACAAGGAAACCAAGCAGTTCATCACCCTGTACAACACCCTGGATGACACCAAGTTGTACCTGAACAAGGAAGTCAATCTGCTAAACTCCATCCATGACAATTTTGAACAGTAAGTCAAGGAAAAACTTTTAGCATTTTTGTTCAGAGGATAACTTAAAAGTGTAAAGAGTTCTGATTGGCTGTGCAGCTTTAGAAATGGCAGATAGGAGAGCTGTGATTGGCTGTTCTGCTTGACATTGGTGGGCAATTCTGATTGGCGGGTTGATACTTGATGCTGATTGGTTGTTTTTTCACTTGGTTGCCAGGGCGATGTCGTCAGCAGCCAATAAGGAGCAGTTCCTGAAGCAGCTGGAGCAGATTGTGGATGGCATCAAACAGAACAAAAACAAGGTACTGATTAGCATCACCTCTCATTCAAATCTGAGTCAAGTATTTTTTCTTCTTCACTCTTTCATTAATGGCTCTTTCATTCCTTCACTCAGGTTGAGAAGAAGAAGCAGGAGGAGAAGATGAGGAGGGACCAGCTGAATGACACCTTTCTGGACCTGGTGGACAAACAACGAGTCTACTTCAAGACAGTCAAGGACTTTCAGGAGGTATGGTCATCATTAATGTTGGCTTTTCAATAAAGTTCATGCAGCATTGTGCTCTACTTCATAGTGTTTTATTTGTAGTACGATTTTACTTTTGGAGAACACAGAGGTAAAATGTGTATGAATATGTTATAGCTAGAAGTCACTTGGTACATGAGTCTGCCAATTCAGATTGTCTTAGGTTTTGGAAAATGAATAAACCAGTCTACATAATTCTGTATTGGTGGCCTAGCTGTCAGACATGGAATCAAGAAGTCCAGGGTTTGATTCCTGGTTAGATGTTATGTTCTTAGTAAAGGCCCTTACTTTCCTCACTGAACTACCTGATTTAGGTTGATATGATACCATGGATTTTTTAAAAAACTCTCTGGTCTGTTGGAAAGTTAATGTTGTTCTTTTGTTGTTGTTTCAGGAATGCCGCAAGAATGAGATACTCCTAGCCAAGTTGAAAGCTGCGTCATGATTGGTTGACATTTTCTACTGAAAGGAGCCATGTGATTGGTTTGAATGCGTCAGGCCTTCCATATGATTGGCTCAAAAGCATTGATACAGCATTGCGATTGGTGGAAAGGTCATCAACTGCTTTGCATAAAGTAACATTCCTGATTATGTTACTTCTGTGTCGTTAAAGGTAGATCATTTATTGCTTAAGTCTAAATGCAAACTTACAAAAAAATCTGGATTTGTTAAGGATCATCACAGAATTAATGGATTATGCAAGAAAAATTAGCGATTGAATCCAATATGCATTTCCAATGTGTTACTACCATACTTCAGAATTACATGTATTTCAAGTGCAAACTTAAAACACAGTGAAATCTTTTCCCCTTCTAATGTGAAATAAAGTCTGTGCAAAAATAAATGCACTCACATAATTGAACAATTTTTCCTTTTTTGAACAGAATCTGAATAGGAAATAAAAAATTCCGTCAGATCAAATAGATCCAACTTATCTTGTTGAAACTGTTGTGATATTCTGCTCAGAAATATTAACTGACTAATATTGTAATGGTGCTCTTACAACATAACAACAATTAAAAAAACACTACAATCAACATCTATAAGGTTATGGTATTTTTCTGTCACCTTCTTTCTTTGAAAAAAGTAATTTTACACGATCTTCTAGTCAGCCTAAGTTTTTATTGCAAAAATGCAGATAACTCAGTTGATGTTTACATCACATACATGTAGTGGTAATTAATTATACACAATTACATGAATTTTGGATATTAATTTTTTTTTGTGACATTGAAGTCTATATCCTGCCACTCGAGCTGTTACTAGTATATTTATAGAAAAGTTAGTTTAACAATACTAATTTTCGTAACAGTCCAGTTCATACCAGAAGTTATTTTTACACTCTTAAGAAAAAGCACAGCACACAAAGTATGAGTGATAACTTTTCTACTTTGTATAGAGAAAAGGCCATTTTTCTGATGGCTAAGCCACCGTATGCTACATATAATAGTGCTTATGCTAATATAAATATAAGCCCATAGAAGAAAACATCTTTCAGATTAAAATTCAGCTACTGTTAATACATGCTGCACATTGCATTAAAGGCATATTACAAAGGTAGTAACTTCTCAACATCTAAGTCAAAATTGCAAAGAGAAACGAAAAGTTTACTTCCAAAAGTTGGTAGAACCTCCTTTGGGTATTGACAGAAGAGAGAAGCATTAGTCTAAACACATACATGGCTCTGCCATTCAATACAAATCTGCTGAGATAGCACCACTAATAAAAAAGTATTATTCCTATAGTTTTGGTACATGTATTCCTATAGTTTTGGTACATGTATTCCTATAGTTTTGGTACATGTATTCCTACACATGTAGTTTAGTCAAGGACTGAAACTACATGATTTTTCTCAATAATGACACTTGCTATAAGGCCCTTATAGCTAGAATAGGCATTGAAGTCCTTGAAAAAGTTATGCATGATAGAACAAGGCTTTTAGGGGACATGGTACTGCCTCCTTTGTTGACATCGGCTGTAGCTTGCACTCTTCCACAGCAGGACCGTGCAGGTGCGCCGCCTAGCGGCGGCTGCGTTGCGGTTTCTTTCTCAGGCGTGCGAGCAGGTCATCGATCTTGGACATCCGCGAAGAAAGAATGCTCAGGCGTGACAGAACCTTGTCTACGGAGGACTGAGGGGTGCGCTGTAGGTGAAAACCAACAAAATTGATATTAAAAAATGCTAATATCACAGGTAACAAAAGTCATAATCACTCTGTATGAACTGGCAACACTATCATTCATCTTACGTAATTTACTGACCTTATTGTCCTCTGATTGGCTGTCAACAGAGGTGCTGACTTCTGATTGGTCAGGTTCGTCATCTTTGCCACGCCCCAGGACCTGATCCAATAAGGTGCTGATCTCGTCTTGAATGCCGCTGGTTGGAAAAATGGGCCGTGGTTCCTGAAACATGGAGACGCAACTAATGCGATTTCAGGGAAGCAAATTTGGAAATATTCTGAATAAGGCAACCTTTGTAATATTGACACATGCTGCTTCACATTAGCACCTTTGAGTCAGCATTTCATAGTTTTATGGGTGGTACCCTAAAAATCAGCCCAGGGCCCTTCCAGTAACTATTTTCCATCAGAATTTCGGGAATATTTGCTCCATGAGGGTCAATATACATTGGGTAGGTGTGGTTTCAACTCACTATGTAGAAAATATTGGC